CTCAGAGAACAATTTGTGATATGCATCGCTTAGCAGTAAAGTAAATTCATGCCTACTGACTTCAAACAACTAATAGAAAAACAAAAAGTCTTTGCTTACAGAAATTATTTAACTAGTTTTTACGACTAAAACGAGTTGATCTGAAGTGCTAATAACTCACTCCTGGACACTCGAATAGCTCAAAAGAAATTAACAGTGTTTCTGATTGGTCTATTTACGTCAGCAAAAAATAAAAAAATAATAAACTAACACATTGGGTTCATTACAAATTAGCACATAGAAATATATTAACACATGTAGTATGTAAATGGTCAAATCAAAAATATTTTTGTAAACAAAAAAAGAAAACAATTGTTGATAAATATGTGAGTAGGATAAATCAAAGTGTCTTACAAAGATTGAATTTACTTTTTTGCTTTCGTTTTAATACTTCTTATCACCTTCGCACGATATGCGTGTTTGCCACTCCCTATTGAAAGTGTATAAATAATTATCGTCCCTGATTGTAATAATCTCCTGTGTTGAAAAAAACAAACAAACAACAAGTAAACTATTGGTTTTTTTGTCGACAGAGTAATCATAAAGTGAGTTATAGTCTTCTGAATTTATAAATATATATATATATATATGTATTACTTTTATTTTACCAAATCAAAATAAGTATCCTATAATGTAGGTTGCAGTATACTTAGAAATTATAGCCTGTGGTTTGGACGATTATGCTATATAATATTAGTAGTCAAATTAGAGGGGTATTTGCTGATCATTCTCTGTTTGGATGAATAAGGTTGGTTGAAATGTTTTACAAATTTCTTGCAAAGACTAAAGTGTATAGTACCGGTAAACAGTAATTACTACACTATGATATGTTTCAAATGAAGTCGTGTACTCACTTATATTTAATATATAAATTTTGACGGTACACGTTGATCTTATTTTAAACAAACACAGCCAATAGTCTCTAAAGAGACTTAATTACATCTGAAGCATGACACACTATGCGCTTCATGAATTATTTCCATGAAACAATAGATTTTATTTGATATAACACAGCATTGTTTGTTTACTGATGATGTTTTGAGCACAGGTTATTGCTTGTAATCATATCAAAGTACTCAGATAAATTTCAGACTATGTTCATGTTGTTCCGTTACATTTTGTCCCTTTATTTCATTGGTAGTGATGTATTCCATATCTCTGGTATCAGTATAGTTTTATTATTCTTGCGAGTGTTAGGTGTAAATTCGATGAACATGCGGATCCAGTCATTAATCTCTCCCTCCACCTACCTATATTACAAACTGTAACATTATAATCGCTAAATTTCTATGTTCCAATATCCTCTCTGAGCTCACTCCACTTGACTGACCTATCGTAGTTGACTTCATAGTCACTGCAAAGGTATCTCGTAGATTAAGTTCTTTCGTCTCATCATGTCAATAAGCTCCTTTATCCTACACAATCTATCCCTGAGTAAGTCTGCAGGTTGTAATGGTATGCTGATTCTGTCGTTATTAAAAATCCTAGGTAGTGTTTCTGATGTTTCTTCCTCATATAGTTACACTGTGGATAAGGAAATACGCAGTGTTCTATTCACCTAAGAAATATCTCTTTTCAACGACTTCATTTTCAAGCTGTATATGCTTATTAATATTACCAAAAAAGGCCTTAGGTGGCACTAAAAATTGCTCAGTCAATATACATATGATAAGAATAAAGATATTTCATACATTTGGTACCCTTGATAAATTTCGATAGAGAAAGAAAGACCAGATTTGCAGTATTAAATGATATCATTCTATTTCACAGGTTCTCATCAGCTGCACATCTCTACCTGAAATTACAATGGTTATAAATAATAACATTTCATACTTCATTGTTTGAAAGGTAATAGAGAAAACATTATAGGATTAACGCATCTCGAATATACGTATTATAATTTATGGTTTGAGTTACCATCAATTTATATACTATCAGACTATGAAGAAAGAAAAAGGGGAGGGTGAGAGAAGACAGAGAACAGAAGGAATCTAATAAACAGTGTCAACATGGCCACTCAAGAAGGTCAAAATTCATCAATTTGAAAACTTGCTCAGTGAGTTGAGCCCACTAGTGTGTATGACTAACCAGTGTAATGAAAGTGATATGGTTACCAAGTGAGTGAGAGATTGACCACACTCTCTTTCTGCCTGCATAAGTTTGGTCTGTGACGTTTGATTGAAATTACTTCAGCAAATCGTAGTACATTCACTGTCCTTTGTATGTTTAAAATCTTGAAGGATTTGGCTGTAGGGAAGCATCTCTTTATTGCTCCTTTCCTCCGCTTTTCAATCTTTTGCGATACTGTTTCTCCTTCGTATGGGAGGCAAATGAACACTCTTCTTTTCGACTGTTGGAGACTGCTCTTTCTCATCTCTTTCTTTGCTGTACTTTAGGATAAATTCATTTTGATACACGTTTTTCCTAAGGCATTTTTCAATAAAGCTTAATTCTTCTTCTACTTTGTTAGGCGAAAATAACTTCCTGGCTCTGTCGTAGAGTGTCCTTAGTAATCCCCGCTTATAGCTGTTGTAGTGAAGATATTGTCCAGTCCAGGTTCCTCTTCTGTAGATGGACTTTTCAACTGTTCCATCGTTTCTTCTTTTTACATTCAGGTCCAGGAAATTGAACTCGTCCTTGTTTTCATATTGCATGGTGAATTTAATGTTTGGGTGGATCCCATTGAGGTGCTCAGATAATATGGATACCTAACTCATGTCGTTACAAACAATAAACGTATCTGTTTTTTAAAAGGGTTCTTGTCCAAACCCTTTAAAAACAAAAACTGTGGGGGGGGGGGAAAATCGAGATGGGGTATGGAGTATAGACATGGGCCGTATGTACTTACGAGGCTGGTTCGAATCCCGGTGGGTGCGTACTGCTGAAGAGTCCCAAACTAGGACGAAACAGCTGTCCAGTACTCCCAGGTTTTCCAATGGTTCTCTAACTAATGTCAGCTCATGATGAAATCCTGAAATAAACGTATCACCGACATATCTATGATAGTGTGTTGTTTCATTGATAGATTCACTCAGTCGCGTCTGCTCGAGATAACCCATGAAGATGTCGGTTAGAATAGGTCCTAGAGGTGAACTCATGGCGACCCCATTATTTCGTTAGTAAAATTCGTTGTTGAATTTGAACTGGATGTCTTTTTGGGAAAGAATTAGTAGGCGCTTCATCTCTGTTTCCGGTAATGGCAATAAATCTGTTTATCTACACATTATGTCTATTGTTTCCATCACTGGTACATTTGTAAATAAGGCAGTCACGTCGTATGACACCATTAGTTTATTTGATATATCAATATGGTCGGCTTCTTTAGAAAGTTAGAAGGTGTTATCCAAGGTATGAATTGCGAATTTCTGTTGAATTGGCTTCTATGAGTCAGCTAGCCATCGATCTAGTTTGTGGCATGGAGAGTTTATCATTGATGAGTCTTAAGGGCGTATTGGCCCTAAGGATGTTTGGCAGACCGTACATAAATGGAAGACGTCCACTTTTTGACCTTAGTTCGTTGTAAGTTTTGTTGTCAATCATTTTCTTGATGAGAAATTCTTTGAGGCGTTTATTTACTTTGTTTTCAAATGACGTTGATGCATCCTTCTTATTTTTGTCCACATAAAATTTCTCGGGATCGTTAAGAATTGTCAACATTTTAAGTACATAGTCAGTTGTATTCACTATAAAAACATAACAACGATGTCATCATTTTCAGATAGTCTCTTTAGGGCCACTCTATGCTCCTCAATATGCATTTTCTGTTCTTCAGATGTTAATTTGTGGTATTGATTGGCTATATCGACCAGTTTGGACATTAGCTATCCTCTTTTGTTTTCGTCCACAGGTTACAGGTCAGAAAGTTGATGGTACAAGTATTCAAACTGCGTTTCTATATCTATACGGTTTATGTGCTTCTTGGGGACGTGAATCTCAAAGAAGAGGCTTCTAAATCATTTTTTCTTAATTGTAAATTTGACAGATTACACACGTAACTTCAGGTGCTTCTGGGAATTCTTCAATTAACTTTTCCTCGACTAATGCTTTTATTAGTTGGTTTTCGTATTCTTTGCAGTTTTGGGTTGTAATTTTTTGATAAAGTTCAGGAATTTGAGCCAGCAAGTAATATTTAGCTTATTTATTAAACTATCATAAATAGTCAGATAAGACTTCAGATTGGAAAGATATTTGTACGAGGATTCAATATTCAACTTTGTTATCCGTCGAAGGTTCTTTTGAGCAAGCGGGAGTTTAGATGATCGGACTCGCTTCAAGAATTGTCGTGGGAAACAACCTGTTTGCAGACACTGTTCATAGAACTTGATCTTTGCCAACTCTCTCGATATTCTGCATTGCAAAGTTAAAGTCTGCAAATCTAGTCTTTCTTTCTTTATCGAAAGTAAAAAGATAATTAAAATGATGTATTAAGGAGGTAGAGTTGAAGTGGATGAATTACAAAACTTTTTAAGTATTACTAAATAAGTGAACTGGTGTAAAGCTAACAATTCTACTCATCTTGGTGATTAGTAACTGCAGTCATAATTAAGTGACTCATGATCACGACCATAAAGGGAGTAAATATGCGTGCACAGACTAAATATCTTTAAGCCTATATCACTGGTATTCGTAATCTGAAATCTGTTATCTGAACATGTATAGTATATTAGAGTTTAATTATGTGAGCTTATCTAACTGACAGGATAATTTTCAGGGTTTTAATTTAGTTCTTTTTATGTGACAGAATATTTGAGTAGAAAGTTGGCTAAGATATCAAAGTTTCTTGGTTAAATAATTCATGTCTATTCAAACAGAGTTGGATTTCGTTGTCTTTATTTTTTTTCATTGATAAATAGGAGCCATTTTTGAATTACCCTCTAAGAAGAATTTTACTGATACTTGTACTACATATTCAGTTGTTAACTATATTCTTTTTTAATAAAAGTAAATTTTGTTTGAATAAAATGAAGCGAAATAACATCTTCCCTGGGTCGAGTAAACTTAGTTTAAACAGCCGAGTTAGTACTCGCCTAAGCGGTATATCGGTTTATCAAAGTAAGCAGTCAAAACAATCAAGAAGAAGATCATCATTGTCTGGAACAAAACAATTTCTAAACATAAAAGAAATATTTCAACCGATTATGAATATATTTCCTACTAGTGATCCAAAACATTCGGTCAGTCAGTTTGATTTCTGGACAAAGTTTACAAAGAGTCCAAATGCCGTCGGTCATATACATTTCTCGCTTAGATATGCATGCACTTTAAGAACACTGAATGTTGTAATTAGTCACTTAACTGGTATTAGTAATTTTCAAAAGAATCTCACTGCTTTTCCCAGTCAAGTTGAATCAACGTTTGTTATTGCTTTACGACTGCAACAAAATAAAAAAATTCCAGTTAATAGGGACGAATTTCAAGACGACAGTGATAGTTTAAGCAGAAGTTATTTCACACTACCAGTACGTACATCGTCAAATCCACATTTTGATCAGTCATTTGTATTCCCTGTTACCATGAACGAATTACGAAATGTGGAATTAGCATTGACAGTTATGCATGCAATATCAACAGATGAATGCAAGAGAGGATACAGTCACATAGAAGAATCAATTATTCTCAGTGAGACATTAAACTCACTAACTTTTCAACAGCCTGATCAATCTAGTCAGATATCACTTCATTCACGACAGATCCCTGAGGAGATGAAATGCATTGGTGTAGCATTTTACAGAGTCGATCATGAAAAGCTAGTTCATTATCCAGAGGAATTACTAAATGTATGGCAAGAATTATTCAAGCCATTAAACAATCAAGACTTTACTTATCTCGACATATCAACAAGAGAAACGAAACCAATTTCGCCAGAAGAGCCCTGGAAACCCATTGAAAGTAATGATCAAGAACAGGCGAGTTTCTATGTATGTGCTATACACCTTATCACTTATTTAAAAAAATTTTAATCTTCAAAGAGTTTACTCACTGTTTACTCAGCTGTTTCAGGTTGGAAAAGCAACTGGGTGGTGATAGTCTCTAAATTTGCGTGGGATAAAGAATGATTGAGTTCGGTGTATTGCAGCAAAAGCTTTAATGTTTAGTCACTATATTGACAGTCAACTATTCACTAATCAGTTATTACTCAGTATTCACTTTGTATGCGAAGCGAGTAGTCAAGATCATATGCTGGTGTTTGGGCTTCTAACTTGGAGTCAAAAATTTCATACATTCATTCCCTTTAATGAATTTGAACAAAGCATGAACTACAGTTTTAGCAGAATAAAACGGTACCATCTTTTATTTCGTTGCCTTCTCGTCAGCTGCTTACATGGCAAAGACATTATTAAATATATCTACAACAACAATTTTAACATACTTGCACAGAGTTCAGTTTAAACAAAAAATCAATCGATCAATATACGCATACACTAAAAATATATAAATATATAAATATGCAATATTAACCACTATTCCGAACAATAATAATCAAACACAATGGAAACTTTTAGCATTTCACATCCGGAGGAAAGAGAGGTGAAATTATCCAGTTACCAGGGCAAAGAAAGGCTGATAACCGCTTCTTTCTGGACGCATAAATCAGGTTTCATGCGCTTGATGGAAATGGCTTCAGCAAACTTAAGGAGAATTGAGCTATTTTGCTTATTGATAATTTTGAACGACTTTTCAACGTCCACCTCATGACCCGTGTCGAGAAGATGCCTGGTGATGGCACTGTTTAAAGCATTTGTTCCCTTTAGACGTAAGCTTTTTGGTACATGTTCAGAAAATCGTAGATATGCCCTTGTTTCTGTCCTTCCAATGTAACTGCTCCCGCAGATACATGTAAATTTGTATACAAAGTTACATGTATCTGCGGGAGCAGTTACATTGGAAGGACAGAAAGAAGGGCATATCTACGATTTTCTGAACATGTACCGAAAAGCTTACGTCTAAAGGGAACAAATGCTTTAAACAGTGCCATCACCAGGCATCTTCTCGACACGGGTCATGAGGTGGACGTTGAAAAGTCGTTCAAAATTATCAATAAGCAAAGTAGCTCAATTCTCCTTAAGTTTGCTGAAGCCATTTCCATCAAGCGCCTGAAACCTGATCTATGCGTCCAGAAAGAAGCGGTTATCAGCCTTTCTTTGCCCTGGTAACTGGATAATTTCACCTCTCTTTCCTCCGAATGTGAAATGCTAAAAGTTTCCATTGTGTTTGATTATTATTGTTCGGAATAGTGGTTAATATTGCATATTTATATATGTATATATTTTAGTGTATGCGTATATTGATCGATTGATTTTTGTTTAAACTTAACTCTGTGCAAGTATGTTAAAATTGTTGTTGTAGATATATTTAATAATGTCTTTGCCATGTAAGCAGCTGACGAGAAGGCAACGAAATAAAAGATGGTACCGTTTTATTCTGCTAAAACTGTAGTTCTTGCTTTGTTCAAATTCGAGTCAAAAGATGGGCAAAATCTTAGACAGATAACACTGATGACTGTTGACTAACATTAAACTGGTTTTAAGATTTGTTTGTTGTATTATTTTATTTTTATTTTTTTATTTTTGATTACAGCTTGACTCCACACCGTATTTTTGGTACAAGTGTGGAATTTTCATCGTGGATATCGGTAGCCCAAAATTTGCAGGCCGACCATAGATATCAGGTGTGCGTCGGCGTGGGCCCGAACCCCGGACCATGTGCATGGTCGGCGAGAGTCCTAACCACTGTGCAACCGACGCACTGCAGAATTCGCTGACAACAGGGTTAAGTTTAATGTTTTGGATTTACTACTCACAGAAATTAATTACCTGCACAATTGAAGCAGTTGTCTTACAGATATGAGGTTTCTTGTTTTCAGCATACTCTTATCTAATCAATAAAAACGATTTACTGAGAAAATAACTACTGTGGAAAGTTTGTACATTGTGGAATAGATCAGTTGATTTTATTTCAGTGGTTGTTTACACAGAACAAGTTTCCTTTTTTAAATTTAAGTAACATTTCGAGCGGAACTACTCACTACCCGCTATTTTTTGTTTTCCTTCACGTGGAACATAGGGCCTCAAGCTAGTGGCTTGAAGTTTCTGTAGCAGTGTTTAATTTTTTTACAGGATTAGGTTGCTAGCCTCATGCCCAACCTTTCCTCTTTACCAGCATTATTTCTGGCTTTGCGATGTAAAGGAATACATCGGTCGGGGATTGAACCCCGGACCATGTGCATGGTCGGTGAGCGTCCTAACCGCTATACCATCGACGCACCCGCTATTACAAAATATTAATATGTGAACTGAACAATACAAGCTGTCAGTTGTGTCACGGCAAGTAATTCGGTTCGAAATATTATCAAAACCAACAAACTTACAATTGTGTATGTCAATAACAATTGAAATATAATTGTATTTATATATAACTGCCACAAACCGGATAGATTTCATATCAATCTCAAGGAAGCGGAGACACAGCCTTCCTGCTGGACACAAAGTCGAGAAGGGGAGCAGATGTGGGCTCAGATCATCATCTGGTTCAGGGAACATTCAAGGTCAATCCCTGCAACACAACTGGAGACAGACCACTGCAATTCAAGTTCAACCTTCAGAAACTGAAGGACAAAATTACAAGGGATGCCTTCGCTACACATCAGATCAGAGCAAAGTCTGAGACACGACGTGGCATCACCGAGGAAACCTGTGTGAAAGAACACTGGAACTCTTTGAAGGCGATATTCAAAGAAAAGTGTACAACTGTCCTAGGAAGAAAAAACTGACAAGAATGGCTTTCAATGGATACCTGGAAGCTAATAGAAGAAAGCAGAGGAGGATGGTGAAAGAGAAAGATGATTCAATCCAGAGATGGGCAACAGAAGGAGAAGGAGTTCAGTGTACACTACTGAATAAAGGAGTGAAGAGTGAAGGAAAGACAAAATAAAATTCCACGACACACTGGCTGGTGACCGAAGCATAACAGGAGGACTGCAGGTAAAAGAGACCTAACGACATGATGTGAGATAACCAGGTCTCTATCCGGGAAGAGATCGAATCCCATTGTGAGGTTGGCAACGAGTGGGACGTTGGTGTGAGATTGACGTGGAGGAGATCGTGCGAGGAGAAGACGAACGATTACGGTGAATCGTGGTCGCGGCTGAAGAGGGTTGTAGAAAATATACGAAAGTGGGTATGTGTTGTTGAAGTCCCATGTTCCACTCGGAACCCAAGGGAACAATAGTACAATAATAGTATTTGATGAGGGGAATTGTTTGTTCTCAGAGGTACTCTTAGTGAAAGTTAACTATTTATCGTCTGCAGAGCAGTCACTTTCGAATATTTTGGGATATTCTGACGCTCCTTTTTTGCTATTACACATTCAAAATCCTAAAATTATCTTGGTAATTTGTAGCTACTTATTATTGGTCAAAGTAGTATGAGATGTTTGAAAGAATTTACTGGCAAGATTTTAGTGTTCAGTAATTTTTTGACTTAATAAGCTTACAAAGACTGTCAAAGTGATGTGTCTTTATCATGCTTACATCATTGTATTTGTGTAATATCGTTTCATAGTTAAATATCCTGCATGACCGTATTAAAATTTATTTCATTTTCATCCTATTTTCTTGTTGCCTTTCTTGAACTGAATCACTGTATGTGTGCGCGTGTGTTTATCGCTTTGAATAACCTGTATTGTAATATCTCACAGTATATTGTAGTTGTTATGCAAACATTTAGAATTTGTGTAGTTATAGGTATTACTTCTTAATGCAGTAGCAGAGTTAGCGTGGTAACTCCATGAGATCTGAGGTTTTCACCTTCAAAGCATGGCGGAGACAAATTTCATCAGAGTAATTCCTGATTTTCAGACAGGTTATTCCACATAAAAATGGGAAAATACTTTGGTTTCAATGCAGTTTAGTTTAGATGGGGTAAATTATATCGGTAGATTCATGTATGGTGAGACGGTTATTCTCTTTACGAAAGAACTTTTTTGTTATAACCTTACAGTTCATGAGTTTGGAACCATAAATAGGTGATAAGTGATATGGTTAAAGTTTTGTGAGTATTCATCATACCAGCTTTTAAGTTAGTGTTCGTGTATTTTGGTGGTCGCTAATTGATAATGACATTATGAAACAATATCCGTGCTGTCCCCCCCCCCCCAAGAAATTTATACATGGACGGTTGCTCTGTTTATTTTTTAAATATTACTTTATTCTAGCAGATATCTGTGCACAAGGCTGGACAAGTTGGATTAGCAAATAAGCCTATGGTAGAACTATCGTTGCGTTATATAAAACAGTCATCTCAGCTGGAAATACACTTGGAGAAAATGAAACATTTAAGACTCCTCACAAACGAAAGTAGGTTTAAATAGTACGATAAGTTTGTATTATTATTATAATATCCTTTGGTTCCTAGAGGAACATAGGGCTTCAGCTGCCCAAGTCTCCATTGCCTTCGGCTTTCTGCCAACTTTCTCAGCCCGCTCCAAGTCTGCCCACACGCTTTCATCTCCTCTTCACATGACCTCCTCCAAGTCACCCCACCCTGGCACTGGCGACCAACTCGCCGCCCACTTCCCTTTCGGCCTGGTTTCACTCGAGCGATGGCTTGTCTAGTGATGTCACTTGATCGTTTCCTCAGCGTATGGCCAGCCAATCCATCTCCATTTCTTCCTGACTATTCGTTTCACAATCGGTTCCTGCTGGGTTGGTTCGCTCATTTCCAGAGATCCCTGTTTCTGATCTTTCCTGGCTGGCCATGTGATCTTGAGTATTGAGCGAAGACAACTGTTAATGAAGGTCTGTGGTTTGTTTGAGATGCTCTTCATGACGCGATGGCCAAGTCTCTGATCCGTATAGTAGCACTGATTGACCTCACATTGGAGTTGAAATCCGGATGTTATTTTTGATGCCGAGTAGGGCTGTTGACCTGCACACAGACTTAAGAGTAATGAAAGCTTGTCTTGCTTTTCCGATTCTGACTTTGATATCCTCGTCAGTTCCTCTCGCCTGTAGTTGAAAGGATGCTTCCCAGATAGGTGGGTAAAGGAGGTTGTACATTTAAATAAATTTATCTCCTGCGTTTTTAACATTCAGCTTTTTCAATTGGTTAATAATACTATAACTTCTGTATTAATCATAGGAATTGGTTCAACAAGGAAATATACACGAAGCCTGTTACTTTAAAAGAGTTAATGTCACCTTCCATCTCTATAAAGTCTTTGCAGAAACTTGAATACTGCCGTTTTGATTAACTGATGTGTGATTATTTGACTATTTTTTGCATCAAAATTTGACTGCGGTTGATCTTTACTTCAAGTGGACGTTTGCTGGGATCAGAGATGAGCGATTATTGGCCTTCTTTTTCACAGAATTCCAACTAATGAAACCAGTTCAGTGTTTCAAACTGTATTCCTTTGTAATGACAATGAAGATGAACAAAATAAAACACTGTTTCAGGCATTATGCTACTGAGATACATTTACAATCATAGAATAATAATGAAGTTTGTATAGGCTTCTGACTTGACAATTGCATATATGTGTATTTCGTTTCATGAAGGAGTAAAAAGTTGTCTAAGTTTTAATTAAATATGTGAACTAGGATAACATCACAAATTACCAAAGTTATTGGAATGTTAGTGAATTTCTACTATTCAACGTTCAGTTACTTATTAAGAATGACTGATCAATTATATTTTGAATATTATCCAGTAATTGATACTTTTTTTTACGAGTTGATCATGGATTGATATCAGTTGGAGAACCATTGAAAACCAGGGAGTACTGGACAGCTCCTGTTTCATCCTAGTATGGGAATCATCGCCAGTACACACCCACCACCAGGGTTCGAACCCAGGACCTTCCGGTTACAAGGCAAGCTCGTATACCATATGGTATACGAGCTTGCCCAATATTAGGCCACTGGGACTCGACTCAAGAGCTCATGAATTCTAACTTCTACCAATTCGTAATTTAGCGCGACCTCAACCAATGTCGGCGGTGGAACATCCATCCTCAGACGTGACTTCTGGATGGACCTCACTGATCACGATTTCTCACTAGAACTCCAGGAAACTCCATCCCGTAGAAAGTCACTAATGAGCATCAAATTAATTTTCAAGAGTTGGTCTCAAGGGATTAGTTTTGTTTTTACGAGTTGATCACGGATTGATATCAGTTGGAGAACCATTGAAAACTAGGGAGTACTGGTAGCGTGTATGAAATACAACGACAAATAAACGGATGTGAAATAACGTTATGTTACAGTGATTACGTTCTTTGTGTATCTCATTCGAGTATGGTGAAAGCCTTTTAAACACAGTTGGTGATTAATGGACAATACTACAAACATTCACCTCTTTCTGCACAAATAATATTCTTCTGAGTAAACACGCCACCATAGTAAATCCTAATGGTTATAAAATTATGCATTTTGTCTAAAATAAACGCGGATATTTTCTATGCTTACGCGAAAAGCAAAAAAAAATGTTCCAGGATTAACCAGGAAGCTGGCAACAGCTTTGCTATAGACAGTAATAACAAGGCATCTAGGTGACGGATAGTGTTTCTTTTTTCTTCATCCTATTCGCTCATTTCGGTAAGTACATATGGATTGTATTATAACTTTATTAGGATATTTTTCAAAAAGTTTGAGAAGCGTACTAGTCAATCACCTTTGAAGTTGTTATTCTCTTCTATAAATAGGCATTCATGAATCTATGTTTACTGAGTATTTGTTCACAAAGATTCCGACACTAATTGTAAATCGTGTTCGTTACAAACTAACAGTTATCAACTTCATTTAGTGGACTGTGTAGACATCTTAAAGCTATTAGAAATGCTCACAAATGAACAGTGGTTTTTAAATAACTTTATATCTTCTAAATTTTCAGCTGAACTACTCTTTAGAGCAATATTCTGCCTGAGAAGTATGGCTCAACAATCTCTAAAAAGTCAACCAATCGAAATCGTCAAATTCGATGACGACAAGACATCATTGAATACTGATGCAAAAGACGGTTATATTGTTGATCAAATCACAATACCTTCCCAAGAACACTTATCATTAAATGTGGATATGGATTATATATTATACTATAAAGATATTAAAACAATTTTTGAAATATTTTTCCGAACTAATTCATCTTGTCAAGCACGTTGTTTAACTAGAATTGTACTCGGATCGAATGTTGTCAACACTAATGATTCAGCCGTGTTACAGTGGAATGATTTAATTACAGAAGTGAATAAATTAAAAGCCTGTAATTCACCTAATTCAACAAGGAAGATAACTTACTGGCATGAGATTGACAAATTTTGATGAGGCGAAACAGATTGACATTTGAAAATGCAGAAGACATCATTAAGAAAAGCTTTAAAACTAACACGAATAGATTAATGGATTAATTAATTATTTTCATTTTTTCGCCCTATTTTGGTATTCTTTCTTATTTATTCTTTAGAGAAAGTTTGTGAAAATGAACAACGGTTAGTACTTTTGAACTTGTTCATGTGATTAATATACGCATTATGTCTGCTGTTAAAAACAATCACCAGAATAAAATGATCTAAGGATTTGCAAAGAATTTCTAATTCACTGAATCAGATAAATAACATTAAAAGTGCTATATATAATATTTTACTTGATATGTATTCACACTTCAAATTCACTTCTTTATTATTAGGTATATATTTCAAAATCGCCGCTTTAGAGCGATTATCTGAGCAGTTTTGGAAATCATTGAGTGGTGTTTATTGTGGACAATTAGTTTTGTCTGTCATGCATAACAATAGAAATAAACGTATCAGAGAAATATATTTATAATTTCAAAAGAAAGTCACAGAACAGGTATTGTTGGCGGATGGTATATGATGTTCAGAACATAGAATGTACATTAGTTTGAAAGTTGGTTATAAGCTAGTAACTTGTATTGACGGCTATGCACACGCAGAGAACACAGAAACTTCAAAAATCTTGTTTTTTTTACTTTGGTCATATTGAATGTTATTCCTACACTAGTAAAGACCAATATTTAGTTTTTTCAATCATTCTGTTTAGACATTATGCATGATTTTAAACAACTTCATTTAATTGGTCTTAGGACATGTAATATATTTAAAAGGACAGTTCAGTAATATCAAGATAAACTGAAGAGATATTTATTCTACATTTATCCATTTTGTTTAACGTGTTTTCCACGAAAGTTTAGCACATTGCTAGGTCTTAAATTCTACACCTAACCATGGCCTTTGATGTATCCTGTACTGACTGTAATTTAGTTTTAAATGAGCTGACTTAAATGAGGTCAAAAAATCAAGAGAAAGAAATGCTTTTACTGCTAAATTCAGTATTTCGCAACATCTCAAAATAATTACTCAGGTATTGGTTATTTTTCCTAAAAATAAATCTACTGAGTCACCATTATATTACTTCCAATACTCATGTTTTCTGATATTTTTCATACTTTACCTGATAAATTACCAAATGACCAATCAATTTAATGATCATTGTGTCTAAATGTGAACCGAAATTTATTTATTGTTATTTTATTTGTTAACATTCCGAGTGGAACTTGGGGCTTCAAGCTAGAGCTTTGGGATCTCAGCAGCAGGGGTTTTAGTTTTACGGAATGGGATTGCTGGCCTCATATGCTCAACCTTCCCTGTTCATGGGGATATACTGCCGGCTCAGCAAGATTTAGGAGTGCCGCTGCCGAGGATCAGTACCCACAACACGTGTGTAGTTAGTGAGCGTCCTGCAGCTGAACCACTGACAAAACTCGCCGAAATGAACACAACTGATTGAATATATTGTAACCGTAAATAAAACTTTTGAAGAAGAATTTGCAGAATTGCTTCGGGTATTTATGATAGAGTTGTATGCTCAGAGGATCGTTTAGGTTAACTTGTCTTGGAAGCCTTACTCTTGAATAACGGTCTGGAAATGTTAAGGTGATGCATGAATTATTGACTTCACAAAGACTTATAGCTGCTCATAGACTAGTCGGTTGGGATTGACTATTGCCATACGTCTCGTTTTTGGGATTGGTGCGGACCGAAATCTATCGGTCAAGTCCTTAGTATTTTTGTTAAGATAGGTCCCCTTTAAACTGATATTAGATGACAGTAAGCAGGAAGCACCGGCCTAATACAGTCTTAAAAGAGATCAGTCTTGAATCCGAATAAATCACTGGTGACGTCATTGGCTACAGCATTTCCTGATGCGGGTCCGAAGTTCTGAGGGGAGATAAGTTCCTCTAAGTTTGCAGGCACACCTTACTGAAGGTCACCAACAAGCATGAAACTAGGGCCAACAGCTTCTTACCGAATACCTCCAACCATGTAACATTTGCAACTGTAGACTCCCGATAGGTAGTTTCAGTCAACCAATTGACTCAACCTGGTAAATTAAAAATGTGTTTATACTGAGAGTTGTAGGATTCGGAGGAAAAATAACCCTGTCATCATCAAGACGCGTAAACTGAAATATAGATAAAATATAAATTTAGCACAAATTAATAGTCAGTCACAATAGGGAAGATCACTTTATGCACCTGTATTTATTTCATCCATGGATCATCAACAAAGTGAGTCTGCCACTACGAAGAAAGTTAAAAACCCTTGGGAATTAATCAAAGCCTGTGTTAGTCATTACCAAAGGCGTTGGCTAGAATAATAATGCGTCAATAACCTAGTTGTTTTAGGACAACTCAACCATTTTCGTGACAATCTAGCTGCCTTTTCACATTTGTACGGCGTATTTATTTTGACATGAGGTTTCTAGGTTAAAGAGACAGTAACCATAATTTAAAGTGACAACATTTAGGAGGTTTAATTGAATTTTAGATTTTCCCATCGTTGATTGGACCGAAGTGCTCGGTCTCAGGTTGACATGTCGGCTTCTTGTGCAGATGCTTCGACGATGACCCATTGCACAAGAGGTGGCTCTCGTGGCCCAAGTGGTCTAGTGGATAAAGCTTTGGCGTTTGAAACTATTGGCACTGGGTTCGAGCTTCGGTGGGAACATTATCACTCACTGAGAAATGCAGGTACATCCAACTGACGAGTCCCAAATAGGACGAAATGCGCATCCTGGATTCCCCTGCTAGTCACCATCCACCAATTAATACTAATTTGAGAAGTTGTGTGTAATACTGTTTACTGTAATAAAAGAATTTATAAAAGGATTCGATAAGTATTTATTCTTGCAGAAAACTCCATAGATAAATGACAAAATAAGTTATTGATACGCCGTAGGTTGAAGTATGACTGTATGTGTTATGAAAGAATTATGTATTATTCTTCGAAACCTATACTGGAAATCAAATGCCTGGAGTGATCACGGAAAGCGGAAAATTGTAAGCATCTAGAGAATAAAGTAATCTTACATTTATAAAATACCATTTCTTCTGAGTAAGAAGTTTCAAAAATAATATTTCTATGCGTCGTAGAGTGATAAATGACCACATAAAGATGAGAAGTCTTGGAGTTTGTAGTTGTTTATAAAGAGTTAGGCATTATTACAGATTAACTTATGCGTCGGTGGCACAGCGATTAGGATGCTCGCCGACCAAGCACATGGTCCGAGGTTCGATCCCTGGCTGATGCACTCCCTTACTCGCTAAGCCAGAAATAATGCTGGTAAAGAGGAAAGGTTGGGCATGAGGCTAGCAACCCCATCCTGTAAAATTAAACACTGTTACAGAAACTTCAAGCCACTAGACTGAAGCCCTATGTTCCACTGGGGAAGGTGAAAGAAAAAAAACAAATCAACTTAGTTTCTGGAATGTTAATTGGCAGACAGTGGCTAGCGGTTGTGTGTGGGATGCACTTTTCGTCCTGTTTGAGGTTCGTCGGCTGAATATTCGGTGTTATAACATCCCTTATGAGACTAGAAATGGAAAAACGTCTCTTTAAATGCCAAATTAATACCCAGTGGGTCAACAGAACCATCTCTTATGCAACGGGTGCCAGTTAGTGTTCTTTAAATTCAATTTATATTTACCAGTGAATGATTATTTTGGATTGAAGTGCTTGATCTTTATTGACAGCAAGTTAACCTTTAGATATCGTCAAAACGTCGTTCCTGAAAGGTGGTTTGTCAATTCATCTATCGAAACTGTTCCATAAAGCAGATGGAAATTATTTGAAAACTGGAAGATGAATCCATCAAGGGTATGTCGTGATTCGTGATACTTAAACAGTTTCATTTTGATGTTCAAGTATTGATCTGTAGGGATTTGGTTGGTTGGTTGGTTACAGGATTTCATCATGAGCTGACATCGGTTAGAGAACCACTGGAAAACCTGAAAGTACTGGACAGCTGTTTCGTGCTTATTTGGGACTTTTACTTTTAGACCCTACATGCAAGCAAAATAGCGGAGCGTTATGTACATTTTTTTCAAGAGTTGTTTTGTAAGGATTAGACTTTGTTTTTCGAATTTGACCACGGATTGATATTAGTTGGAGAACCATTGAAAACCAGAGTGTACTGGACATCTGCTATTTCATTCCGGTGGATGTCTACTGCCGATGAGTCCCATAAATTAGATTATTTGTTGAGATCTCTTCAAAGCTCACTGAAAAGGAAAACAAAAGCTTCCTGTGATGTAATCATGCTTATTTTTTAATCCAGTTGTCATAATATATTTAATCAACATTGGAGGAAAATTACTGTCATTCCAATTTGTATTTATTTTACCACATTTTATAAAGGTGAATTCGGGTATAGGCAATGAAATGCGACACTCTTGTTTCGATCTGATGGAAACAAGAATCTTCGGAGATGTGTGTGACTATTTTACGCTTCTCATTCTGCTCAGTGTGAGGTAAAAATAAGTGAAGTGTTTTTTTTCTAATTAGTTCAAGTCTTTGGTGCTGAAAAGAGTCAGTTAACAGGAAGTTCTGTATAAATTATGTTAAATGTTTCTTAGTACACAATAACAAAGAGTACTTACACTTTTGAGAAGAGTTATACTTCTCCCGAATTTCGAACCGAGTAACCTCTTTCAAAACTTAGTATTGAATTTGAGCTCATTTAGCAGAGGAAACTGCAGATGAATTGGGTACATCCTGACGAGACCTTTGAATTACATCTTGCGCCAGTCTCTCAATTGGTAACTTAATGGAACACGAATAGATGGCCGTCGAAGAGTGTCAGTGATTGTGAACACTCGATGAGCAAAATAAAGTTTGTTTATTCGAACGGATCTCCATTTTCACGGGAAGCAGCAATAGCGTCCGTGGTCTAATCGAGCTCTGTTTGGCAGAAAACTGGAGATGAACGATCGAAAGTATTATCGTGATTAATACTTCTGTTTA